GGCGAGGCGGTAGGACTGACATCTTGAAGTTCTTCTGACATTTTTACCCCCTGGCTGAAAATATGGCTTCAGAGAAATCAATGACTTCAGGCTGTGGCCAGAATTCACGAGTGTGGTGTGCGCTGAGCGTCCTCTGGTGAGAGAAGGGGGTGGGGTGCGGAGATCACTGTTGTCTGCAAATGTAATAGCAGGTTTGCTGAAGGACACTCTGTTCCTTGGAACCTTTCATTTTAGCAAGGACAGTATTCACTTGCAGCCTTAAGGGTTTTGTGTGTGTGTGTGTGTGTGTGTGTGTGTGTGTTTTGTGGACTTGAAATTGCTACAAAATGAACTATGTTGACTTAAGTTTCTACAAATGGTCCTTCTGGTGTTGAAGTTATGTTTATCCCGAGTAGAGTTACAAATTATCTGCAAATTACCTCCCAATTGCTAGTCCTTTCCCAGTGTGCAAGCCTGGCACGTGCTCACTGCCCTGGTGCTGTATGCCCCTCCACAGTCATGGAGCCAAATCCCGCATCGCACTTAGTCCTCACCACAGCCACGTGGGATCTGATTGTTCCCATTTTGCACCTGAAGAAATTGACGTTTCAGATTCCATGCAAGTGCTTTACGTGTATATCCTTGTAAGTGGATATTCTTTTCCTATTTCGAAGATGAAGAAATGGAGGCTCACAGAGGTTGTTACTTGTCCATGATCTTACAGTTAATAAACGGCACAGTCAGAATTTGAACTCTGCTATGAATGAATGTCTTTCCGTTATGCCACATACATACCTCCTGGCTGAGGTCCTGAAGGTGGGAGGCAGGGACCACTTCTCATGTATGGTTCTCACTTGCTGGCCCGGCACACGGTAGGGTTTGGGGTTGATTGGCTGGATTGGATTCACTCCTCTCCTGATGAATTCAGCCTTTCCCCGGGCATGATCTGAATGTCTGCCTCCCGCCTTCATTTCCCACTTTGATCATCCACGGACATGCCAGAGAGCGTCTGCTCTGAAAAGTTTCGAAATACATTCGATGGATGTCTTGCACCGTCACTCCCACGGGATGGGGTAGCTCTCATGAGTGTCCCCGCTCTGTTTTGACGGTCCTCTTCAAAGTCAAGGACATGGGTGAAATAACACTGCAGCCTCAGGGAAGACATGCCAGAGGGCAGCATAAAGAGCTTACCGGAATCACCTCCCTCTCCAGCCCAAGCTGTCACCCTGTCTTTGAGGAGAAATAAGATACTCGGTGTGATTTGCTTTCCCACTGAGGTGGGAGTGAGAGATAGAATTAAGGATGACTAAGTGCTCCCACAGCGAGGGAGAAGGCCACAGGCTCTGTGGTGCCCTGGATTCAGCACTCAGAAGCCCAGGCGGCTGGCCCGAGGCCCGGGCTTTAACCACAGGACCCTTCACCAGGCTGGCTTCAGTTTCGTTCCTATAAAATGGCTCTTTTCGTAAAATCTCATTAGCCTCTCGTCACTCTGGGTTTGGTTGAGTTGTGGATTTTAACATCTTCCTATATTTTCTGAGTTCTCAAAGCCACATTTCTAGGGGTGAAGATTTTATCTTTTAAATATATTTTTTATTGATTTCAGAGAGGAAGGGAGAGCGAGTGAGAGATAGAAACATCAATAATGAAGAGAATCAATGATCGGCCACCTCCTACCTGCCCTACACTGGGTATTGAGCCGTGACCTCCTGGTTCATAGGTCAATGCTCAAACACGGAGCCACGCCGGCAGGGCAGGGGTGAAGATTTTATAATCACTTCCTGTTGGTGTCTTTGTATCCTTAGCTTTTACTCCAGAGTGACAAAGGACAAGTTCAGCTGGCTTGCATGAGTAATTTCTTTACAGACAGAGGCATAGGAGTTCAGCTGGAAGACAGAGAGTGAGTTGACTAGATTGTAGGCACCTTGCCACGGTAAAGGTGGGCACCCGAGAAGCAAGCACGTGGAAGAACCGGCATTTAAGGGGCGAGTGCTCTCTTGGGCCCCCTCATCTCTTCCTCCTGAGGTCAGAGTGGTTTCTGTAGAGAACCCAGGACCAGACAGTGCTGGGGGCCGAGGCGGCTGCAGCGGAATCTGTTGGCAATTAGGTTTTTGGCCCAGGCTCACTCATAAACCTTGGGTGTTAGGCTTGCCTCATTGATGGGGGGTGCTGGAGAGGGGCTGGGATAGGACAGTTTGCCTAGATTATTCTCCCACATTCTCTCTAGGGAGCAGGGGGCAGTATATTGGCATTTCTAACTTCTTCCTAGTCAGTTGCTGGAATAGGTAGATGGGCCTTCGCTTCATATCTCTTCCAATGAAATCTCTCTTTTCAAGCAAATTAGGAGTTTAAGGAGAATAGGAACAAGACCCTGGGAGGAGCCTGCACTTCTGAGGACAGTGCTTTCCCCTCACACCCCCCCCACCCAACCCCCCGCCGCCCCGAGGCATCCTGGAGGCGCTGTTGTCCAAGCTCAGAGTGAAGAACACTGGCACCTGCAGAATTCCTGAACATGGCAGGGGCTCTTTGGGCCTTTCCAGAAACAAGGGTCATATTTCCCTCTCCTTTTGCAGTTCCGGGTGCTCCCAGTCTGCGGCTCCTGCTGCTGGCTGTCCACGGGGGGAGGTGGGGTCTTACCGAGACTGCCCTCCTTGAGTCTAGGGCCAGACTGCCCTCTGTTCCCACCCTCCACCCTCAGGAGCACCTAGGCCGGCGCTGGCCCAGTGTACATGCTTGATAAAGACATTCTAACTCAGATCATAGGTCACACGCTGTCAGAGCTGGAAAGGGTTTTGGAAACCGCCGAGTCCAGCACTAATTTTGCAGATGGTGCCACTCCAGAAACTCACTCTGCAAAGGGCTGGTGGTTGCTCTCTCCTTAGTTATGGTCAATCCTAATGCAAATGACCATCATTCTAAATCTTTGAAAGGCATCCTTCAGGTGATGCAGGGTGTTTCTCCTGGGACTAGTCGTGATTGGTGATAACAGTAAGAATGCTGACTCGATGCCACACTCCGAGCCACGGCCACCTGGTCGTGTCGGTGCTATCACTGCTCTCCAGGTGCCGAGAGGGGCCCAGGGCGGGCTCCTCACTCGGGGTCATGTAGCCACCGGAATGGTTGAGAGATATCTAGGATCTGTTTTGGTCAGATGCCCAGGCCCCTGGCGCTTAGATGGGGTTCCTGACTAAAACCCCCACTTAGTTATTCACAGCGCTGGCTTCACAAACATTCCAGGGGGTCTTCATCCGAAAGGAAATTGTAAAATTCATTTTCATTTACTTGAAGTTCTCTAATTAGGGATGACAGAGAAGGGAAGGCAAAAAGCAACTAATGATAGGGATTGCCTCTCTAGCAAGGTCGTTAATCACTGCCCTAGAGCATAAAGGCATCTGGGCCCAGTGAAGGAAAGGGGTGTCCCACGTCCTGCTGCAGGGACCACTGCTTCCCGTGGAATTGCTGCTCCTGCCTCCAGTCCCTCTTCTTACCCAGCACCCCGCTTCCCCTGTCACTGGCATCTAGAAGCCTAGTACTGAGGACGTCCAGGGCAGATCTGTGTGACCCCCTCTCCCGACCACAGTGTGGCAGGCCTCCTGGTGACCACCCAGCATCCTGGGTCTTCGGGGCAGGCTGTTTGCCTCACATCTTCCCACTGCGCTTTATATCTGAGCAACATTCCTGTGTGTTTTCTAAAAGGTTAGTCCTGGGTCATTGGCACTTACACCACTTGTTTTGGTAGATCCTTCCCGAGAAGGTTAATTATATATTTGATATCCTTCCCTTTTTATGCCTGAACGATGAGGATAAGTACCCTGTGGTTTATTAACTGTCACTTTAAACCTTTTCAAATTGTCTTGTGACAAAACAGACTTTTATGTCCTTTTTATCCAGCTTTGATGAATGGGACAGCTTCTCTGGTTAAAATAGGCCAGGATAAATAAAATCTCCTCTGATTGGTGGGGATGGAGTTGACATGGGAAGCCATGAGTTCAAATGTGCCATTGAATAAAAGGTGACCTACCCTGTGAACTTTTACATATACTTCTCTTTCTTCTTTTGACAAATGGGGCCAGCACCTAGGCATTCAGTAATTACTGAATAAGTGAAAGAAACGGCATTACTTAAGGGCAGTTGATTTCTCTAAAAGTTTTGATGCCAAACCCTAAAGCAAAATTTGCCACATTTCCTATTTGGTATCCCACTGATTGTTAGAGCAGAGAGCCTCTGTCCTTTAACATTAGGGAACCCCAAAGCTTCCCTCTCCTTCCCCAGGCCATTTTTTTAGACCTTTACTTTTTGGTAAGTTTGCAGTAGAATCAAGGAAGGTAAATGTCATGATGGATTGTCAGTGGTTGTTTGCAGGCAGTGTGTCCGCCTGTAAGCGTCCCATGCTTGAGAACCACTCTCCTGGGACACACAGTATACATAATTCAGCAGTTTATCTCTCCCTCATTTGGTATTCACTGAATTCCAGCGAGGAGCAAGGAGGGCATTTATTTAAAACTAGAGGCCCGATGCATGAAATTCGTGCACTGGGGGTGTTGTCCCTTAGCCCAGCCTGCACCCTCTCCAATCTGGGACATCCCTCTCACAATCCAGGCCTCCTGGCTCCCAACCGCTCACCTGCCTGCCTGATTGCTCCTAACCGTTTCTGGCTACCAGCCTGATCACTCCCTAACCACTCCCCTGCCAGCCTGATCAATGCCTAACTGCTCCCCTGCTGGGCCAATCCCCCCCAACTGCCCTCCCCTGACAGCCCGGTCCCCCTTAACTGCCCTCCCCTGCAGGCCTGGTCGCCTCTAACTGCCCTCCCCTGCCAGCCATCTTGTGGCTGTGAGCACTGCCATCTCTGAGGGCATGGCAGTCAATTAGCATATTCCCTCCTTATTGGCTATGGGTGCCGCCATCTTTGCGATGGCATGAGGGTCAATTAGCATATTCCCTCTTTATTAGATAGGATAATTAAAGTAACAAAAATTCTGCTACGGGTTTAAAACTCTTCTTCTGTTTTTAATTCATTGCAGTTTGCGGGGACCTTGTCGGATGGCTTAGGAAAGACGATGGACAACCGGCATCAGTCGGAGAGGGAGTACATCAGATACCATGCAGCCACCAGTGGCGAACACCTGGTCGCCGGCATCCACGGCCTGGCCCACGGTAAGTCACCTGCTGTGGGCTGTAGGACCGTGGCTCTTCTGCCGCAGTCCTCAGGGTGCCTGTTCAACCATTCGACTGCCGGCGGGAAAAGAGAGCCGACAACAGTGTCGATCCTGGCTTGGCATCGTGGTGCCAGTAGCCACCCAAGCTCTCTTGTTTTATTCCCCTTACAATTGCTACCACCTGTGAGAGCTCTTCGTTCATTTTCAAAGTGTCGTGCACACGGCCATTCCTTCCTGCGCTCTGGCTTCTGTTCCCAAGGTGTCACCAGGTGTGAGCAACAAAACCACTTTGTACCCTATGGATCTGCTACTTCCAGACTTGCCCTCTGCGTTCTGAGCATTCCTTCCAGAGAGAGTGAGGTGTGAACCTGGCGCCAGGTTTGTGGGCCAGATGTTTCCGACTCTTGTGGAAATACCCATTCTCTGAATTAGTTTGGATTCTGACTTTTAATACTTTAATTCTGACTCATTTGCCTTTTGTTGTATTTTTCTCAAAACTTCTTAGCATGGTGTTCGTCAAGGCCCTTGAAAATGTGAACTCAGCCACCTTTCCCGACCATTGTCCCCCAGCCACCCTGGGCCTCCTACTGCCCCCTGTGCCTCACGTTCCTCTGCCCTCCCTCCCTCTGCCTCACTTCATTGCCTCTCAAAACCCTGTTCAGCCTATAAGTCCCAACTCAAAGGACATCTGCCCTGCTCCACTGTCCCCAGTTAGAGTGAATGATGATTAGCACACAGGAAGGGCGCGGTTGTGTATGTAGCCAGCTGTGTGCATCTTGCTTCCCTGATAGGCTGTGAGGCCAGGAGAGCAGGAAGACCACTTTGAATTCACCTTTGTACTTGCTATCTCACATGATACCTGGCATGTAGCTCATGTTTAGTAATGGTTACTAAAGTGAACTGTTTGTACCAGATGACTAGAAATAGTCTGAAGCTACCAGAAAGTCATGTCAAGACTGAGAAGTTTTAATTATCAGCATTTGAAAGAAGGAGGAGGAATATCGATAATAAAAAATCATGTGTCTCTTTGTGTTTAGGGGAGTTTTGTTTATCAGCTTCCTAAGGGCGAGGTTTGGTGCATAGTATCCATGGTAGAAATGTACCACAGCTTTTTTATCCAATCATCTACTGATGGACACTTGGGCTGTTTAGCCTGCCCAACTGGAAAGGGAGCGTTCCCCAAGGAGACATCCAGCTAGAAGTAAAAGTTGGCTGAAATTAATCTGTTTACGTGCGTTAAAAGTTGCTTGTTGGGCAATCCTTGGCGTTAGAGGTTTAATCCTTCTTTCTAGTAACTGCAGTGACAGTGCGTTGGACTAATAGAGGACTTTTTTAATGAACATAAAATGCTTTGCTGTGCATTATTGCCTCTGTTTACCCAGCATCCTTGGGATGCAGAGAGAGAGCATGGCTGTCCTCACTTTTTCAATGGACACACCAGTGTGCTGAGAAAACGGGGAATCGTTTCAAGGTCGCCAACTCCCCTCCAGGCAGGGGTCATTAGGGACTGTGTACAGCACCTTCAGAACACAGGCTGTGCACTCTGAGGCGAGGAACCAGCGGCCTCATGCAAGGGCGACCCACGAAGCATAGCCGAGAGTGAGACCCTCCTTTCACCGGTAACAGCCCGTTGGTGTAAAGTGGAGATCGTGCTCAGTTCTGTCTGCAGGTCCTGCTTGACCAGGCTCAGTCATATTCTGTCTCTGCATGAACTTGGTTCAGAAGGACGGGAAAGGGAGATTGCCTCACTGGGGCGAATGCACCAGAATCCAGAAGCTGTGCATTGTTAGTACATTCTCACCCAAGCAGTTTCCTTTACCAATTTGTCTCACTAGAGCTGAGGCGTCTAGAGAGCTTCCTCACACCCCCATCGTCACCAGGTAAACATCCTGTGAGTGTCCCTGGCCCAGGACCCGGAAATGCTCCCTGGACAGGCCCGCTTCCCCTGCAAGGCCACGTCCTCTTCAGCCCCGGCCAACTTCTGGCCACTGTGGAGCCTCTTCAAGGTCATTGCTGTCATCTCTCAAAATGTTTGGAATATCTTTTTGACCTTGACTAATCTTTCAAACTCGCTCCCTTGAGTTTGCCGCTGGCTCTGGCAGCTTTTTAAGGATGCCCTTCATCAGGCTTTGTCATTACTCTGGTCGCCTACACCTGCTTTCAGCCACACGTGCCACAACTTTTATCCCGTTTCAAACGTTTGGTGGTGCTGGCAAGTCACATAGTGTTCTTTGAAAACTGATCTGTATTTAGTTATCTCTCTGCCTTTTATTTTATGGGACCCCAAGTCTCCCCAAGAGCCCTAGTTTATTGTCTCTAGATTTAATTCCACTGTCTACATCCTCTCCATAGCCCATATGCTGCCCAAGCTCTGGAGTTGAAAAGTACCACTTTTAAACTCTTAGCTTTTCTTTGATTTTTAAAACTGGAACCTGCTTTACTTCTGATGAATATATAATATACATTCTCTGACTCCAACTGAAGAGGCAGATCTGCTGGTTCTCCATCTTGAGTTGGCCTGCCTGTGGCCTGTCAAGAGACTGAGAGAACGCCCCTGAGTTACCTCGCCAGGTGCATGGAACTGAGGGGTTTGGCTTTAAATGCTGTTGCTTTTGTTCTTGGCCCAGTGACAAATAGCCCTTGTCTTTTTTGCTAGGTATCATTGGTGGATTGACCAGTGTTATAACCTCAACAGTGGAAGGTGTGAAAACGGAAGGGGGTGTCAGCGGTTTCATATCTGGCCTTGGGAAAGGGCTTGTTGGCACTGTAACCAAGCCAGTGGCAGGCGCCCTGGATTTTGCATCAGAAACAGCCCAGGCGGTGAGAGACACAGCCACACTTAGTGGCCCCAGGTCAGTGATCGTGGGGGGAGTGGCTTTTGCAATTTCCGGCCCAGATCTGCTGCCTCTCCTAGTCCATCCTGCTATGTTTCATCGGCTTTAATGATATGATTTTTCAATATCTGATTACACACAGCTAAGATTTCTGGCTTGCCTAATATAAATACATGAAAACAAGGCACAAAAATCTGGCATGCACTCTTGCAGATCCACATCTACGTCTGTATCTGTATTTACTGGATACACACTCACAATGTTGTTTTTCTTCACTAGAGGGGTTAGAAAATAGCATTGCATTCTTACAAACCTCCCCTGCTCACCAAACTAATTAGATCCCCGCCTGCCTGTTAAGAAAACTGTCAGGCTGACGGCTGTGTCTTGCTCCTGAGCCCCATGGTGTAGTTCTGGAATCCCTGAAGTTGCAGCTCAGCACGTGGGTCTGTCTCTTCCTAGTTCTTCCACTTGAAAGTGCCAGCTAGTCCCCACCTCATAACGAAACTCCCCACTAGGCGGGCACTTCCGCTGAGGGATGCTTTCTTGCCTTGATACCAGCTGAGACAGGACATCAGCCACAGTCCATATGGCTCCAAATCCCAAGAATCCAACTACTCTAACTTAGCTATTTGTGTGGGGGGCCTATTTTAGCCTCCCCCTTTTCAGTGACTAATTTGGGATTTTATCAACAAAGGCTATAGTAACGAATGTTACAGCTCTCAGCCAAGCTGGACTGCACTTAAGCCCAGAGGATTTTGCCGCTGCCTGCTTAATAGATAGTCCCTGAGTGAATTAGCGTGCCCTTTAGAATGCGAGGGCCGGGGCCATGTCCACACCCTCTTGCTCTCTCAAATAGGATTTGAAGAAAAATTGTCCCCAATTAAAATGAGTCCACTTGTCTGTCACCAGGAAACGTTACCAATGACACATTACTGTGTTCTGCCAGAAGGTCTTCCATCTGGAAGCAGCTGCTCTTTAGAAGGATCTGTAGAGCTGACGTTAGTTAACTTACATTCTATTCTCAGATGCAGAGCCCAACCAGTCCTTGAGTATATTTTGAAGCATTTATGAAGTTAGGGGGAGGGGGGAGACTTCAGTAACTTCCAGTTACTTTTCCATGTCTGCCCAAAGCCCAAGAAGTCTACCTCCAGCTTTTTGTTAGGACAGTGAGACCTAAAGAAGTGAAAGTAAAGTGTTCCAAAGGAACCATCCTTATTCTTAGAATCCCAAAGCAGTCAAGGAGTTGAGTGATTGATTTCAAAAAGGGTCTGAGGTATACGTGTTAAAATGTAAAAATATTATTTTGTGATGTTAACTTTAATAACGACCAGGAAGAAATCACTTGCATTTTCTGTAACGTGAGTTTGGAAGTCTCGGTAAAACGTTGCATTCTTTTAGGAGCACAGGCAAGGCACAGACGGTCGCTGCAGGCAGGAGGGTGTTCATGTCGCTCTTCCCTGCTGTCCAGCATGGCCACAGAAGCTTCAGTTTGGTGCCAGCCGGCATAGACCTCCCGTTCAGGCATGCTCAGTCAGTGAATGCTGATTGAAACTTCCCTAAGAACTCGGGGTTGGGAATGTAGCAGAGCAAGGCTGTCCTTGGTCTCAGAGGGCTACAGTCAAGGCGGGCAGCAAACATAAACCAAGTAACCCTGTAAAGAATGACTTGCTAACGTGATAAATGGCACAGGAGATGTACAGGGTGCGATGAGACCGTGTGATTAGAGAAGATGAAGGGGAAAGAAAGGCTGGCTGTCGGAGCTGTGGTCAGTCAGATCAAGAAGGCCTTTCTAGGGAAGTGGTATTTGCAATGAAGCCTGAGGTATAAGTAGGAGTCGGACAGGTGAAGAGAGAATCGTGTTCCTGGTAAAGGGGACAGAGAAGGTATGTAGTTTGCCTCAAAGCAAACAGTAGCTGGGCAGTCTCACTGAAGTCTAACTGGATAGAGCAGCCATCTGCCTAGCTTTTCACTCCTCCTGGAAGCAGAAGCTTCAGTAATAAGTGAGGAGCAGCCCGGTGGTCGTGGACCTGTGGGCCTGGAAGTTAAAAGGAAGGGGAATTAAGCATCAGCATCGCCTCTATTCCCAGAGGAGCCAGGAGTGGGAGCACGATGGTTGAAGGTATCAGAGGTGAATGGGACACATGCTAGACCCATGCTGATCAGGGGCCTCCAAGAAACTGGGCCCTTCGCCCTTTATTGCACTTGAAAGGCATCACAGAGGCTCCTGAACCCTTTAACCAAGTCCCCTCAGCCCACTTCCCTGGGTCCAAAAGTGGGGTCTTACTGAGGACCCACATGTTAGAGAGAAAAGAACACTTCCCAACCCCCTTCCTTAGTAGCGCTGGGCCCTTGAGCAAGTCTCCTAGCCTGTCTAAGCCTCAGTTTTCATCTAAAATTAGGGATAAATATACCTGTTTACTTATTCTGCCTCTCAGAGGTTTGAGGCTCAAGTAACCAGAGTTACTTAATGCGAAACCATAAAGAACTAGAAAATGCCAGGTGGTACTGTTTTTGAAGGTCACGGATTAAAGGAGCAGCGATTCTTGCAGGTGGAGACGTGTTTCAGAGCCTTCAGGGCCTGCTCCATGACACTGTGATCTCTCAGGAGCATGCTAGCTCTGCTCAGGGACGCGTCACCCTGGCTTCTTGGAAGTGAGATATAGCCGTCCCCGCTGATTGAACAGGGTCCAGGGGTGTTACGCAGGGTTTCCCCACTGTTTAGACAACAGGGACTAACAAATGATTTGAAGGGATTAGAAGTGAGATGCTGACCGAGGGCTGACCTGAGCCCAGGGACTGAGCCAGGAGTAGAACCCAGGAGTCCAAGAGTTCTGCCTCTGAGCCTGCTCTTGGAATGAGACTTTCTGCTTCCTCTGTAATATTTCATCCAAGTAAAGGCTTAGATCTTAGCATCTATGTTTTAAATGACCCAAATTTTAAGCAGATGACAGTAAAGTAAGCCATAAAACTGTGAAGGAATACTCCTTCCAGTAATCCATCTGAAAAGCAGCTTACAGGAAACATGGGCTCCTTTTGGTGTTTATTGGAACATGGCGTTATTTATAGGGAACCCCCCTCCTTGAGTTCTTTAAGATTAAAATACGTCCGAGTTCCGCTCCTGGATGGAGCATGCAAGTGTTCCAGCAAGACAGCCCCCTGACTGGTCTCTGAACTTCCCACGCAGTCGACAAGTTCTTGGGAAGGCAGGTGGGGGTGGGGAGAGCAGGGCGGAGGACAGCAGAGCCTTTGGCCTCAACATGAATGTTGTGGACCAATATCCCCTGCTGCATGTGTTAACTGTACAAGTATGTGTGGTTTGGAACTGAAATAAGAAGCCTTTTCCAAGGCAACGTTCTGCTGGCTCAGGTTGCATCGTCTCGTCTACGTGTATTGGGCCACATTTGTCTGTTCCCAAGTAAAGTTTATGAAAATGGCACAGAGGCAGCCACTTGTGGTGCCACTGAAGCCATGGAGAGAAGCCTGTCGCCCTTCAGACAGACCGGGCCCAGCAGGGCACCCGCCGGGCCATGCTCAGTTCTGGGCATGTGCGCTGGGTTTTGACGGGAATACTTGCAAAGCCACTTTGGTGGAAAGCTGCAGAGAGCCCGCAGCAGCCATTTCACAATAGAAGGCAAAACACCACTGAGGAGAGAGGAATGCTCGACTCCGGGCTGTTGATTTGCTTGTTTATTTCTCTGATGGGCTTTGGGCTGCCTGGCATTTCAGGAGCGTAGCCCGTGAAGATTGATGAAGCTGGGCCCTGAGGTTTCCTCCAAAATATTTCTTCACCTTTTTTAGTCAAGACCCAAAACAGCAGGGAGAAGTGTGAGTTGGCAGAACTTGAAATATTTGAACTAATTTAGCAAAGCTCTGGAGTGTTGCAGCTTATCTCAGTATTTAAGGTCGATAAGGAGGAAGGGGGCTTGAAGGGTAGTGATACATCAGTGTTGGAGAACACAGCCCTCGGGCCCCGTGCGGTGCACGCATATGTACATTCCAGTTGCCCTGAGAGCTTTGCAGTAACCTTCGGGTGGACTTCACAGAAAAGATTTATGGTGGGCATATTCCACTTCTGCAGTAAAAACACTCCTAAGTCACCATCCAAAATTTCTAAAAGACGCTTTCCGTTAATGGCCTCTGAGATGTGAAATGGAAATGGTGTTTCTCGGGGAAAAGCCCTTTTTGTTACAGTGTTTGCATCTTACCAGGGCTCTCTGGGATAAAAGGGTTAAGACCCTCTTGAGTCACAGAGCCTAATGCCAGTCAGGTGGGAGCGGCCAGAAAGCCAGCAGCAAAGGGAAGTAGGCAGCGCTCCCCCGCTCTGCGTCCTGGTTCGGCAATGCAGCCTTCACGTACCCCACGCTGAGAGCGGCCATGTGCTCTCCTCGGTATTACATAGCACATCCAGCAGAGCTGGCTTGGTTTGAGCCATTAGGGAACTCCCAAAGGTAAAAACCTAACAACAATTAAAGTGTCTCTTAGCTGCACCAGTGCTCTCAATTTTCCCACCAATGCTGCACCGGAGCCAGGGAGGTGCATGGGACCCCGTGTGTCCTGGGAAAAGCAAGTCCAAGATTTCCTTGGAAAGTTTGTTTTGTCTTGAAACTGTGAATTAATTTTATCCCACAGTTGTTTTAATAAAATGTTTTTAATTGCTACCCAATAAAAGTAACCCTTCAGAAAGATGGGCCACGTTCTCCCGTACTTATTCACGAGTGTAAGGCCCTCCTCCACTTGGGTCCCTGGACGCTGGCAGCATTGAGATGAAGTTGTGTGTTGCTAAGTGTTGGTGTGAAGTTGTGTGTTGGGAAGTGTTGGTGTGAAGTTGTGTGTTGGGAAGTGTTGGTGTGAAGTTGTGTGTTGGGAAGGGTTGGTGTGAAGTTGTGTGTTGGGAAGGGTTGGTGTGAAGTTGTGTGTTGGGAAGGGTTGGTGTGAAGTTGTGTGTTGGGAAGGGTTGGTGTGAAGTTGTGTGTTGGGAAGGGTTGGTGTGAAGTTGTGTGTTGGGAAGGGTTGGTGTG